TGTTGAACAATCGGCAAGTATGACCGAATCGTTTCAAGTAAGAAACTCGGTAAGACCAGTCGTTCTCCCAAAGGACTCACGGCCTAGTTTAGTTATGTGATTCTTTTGATTAGCTAAGACTTAAGAACAAAATAATTGGATTGTACTTGCAAAAGACGAAAATAAACATGTATCATGAGGTTTTTTGATCAATGGCAAAAGCAAAGACAAGCACTTTCAATGAAATATATATATATATATATATATATATATATATATAATATGTTGTTGGGGTCATTTCATCTTATCCACTCTCATATATTTTAGGAATTCAACATCAGGTCATCATTGTTATGCCACTCTCTAAATTACCTTTCAAGAAGGCTTCTCCCTAATACGAGTTCATACGATTCCTAGCATTCCTATAATTAGTTTTTTTAGCACAGAGCTTAAGGCAAACCAATATACTATTGGGAGAAATTCCTTCCCCGGATCTAGACTTCCCCATACGTTCCCACACTTATCACAACCCATAATCATGCATTGAATGAGTTAAACAAAGCAAGCATTGAGCAAGAGGAAAAACCTAACTAATGATGAAAGAAAACATAAGTCTTAGATTAAGATGCAAGCCCAAATTCCATATATGAGAGCTTCAAAAGATTACATTGATTCCCCAACAAAACATACAAGGTTTAGTTCACCATATTCATGGTGAACCTAGATGAACAATAAGAAAGAATGAAAGAGATAGAAAAACCCGAGAAAGAGAAGAGGAGAGCTGTCACCTCTCCCAATCTACCCCAAGGGGTGGAAGAAGAGTGTTTGCTTGTTTCTTTCTGCCAAAGATACAAAACCCTAAGACCTCTGGTCTTAAATGGACATAAAATAATAGAAAACGGGTCCAGCCCAACAGATCATAAAATCGCAGAAAACTGGCCCAAACTCGTATGGTTTAACTTTTTCGTATTCTGGTTGACTGTTGACTTTTTTGGTTGACTTTACTCTGGTTGACTGTTACTTTTCTGGTTTCTGTTGACTTTTCTGATTCCATCTCTCTCCTTCTTCACTTCTTTCACTAAATTCACCTTAAAACCTGCACAACAAAACACACTGAAATCAAGCCATAAACCTTGCACCTCTCTTATTTTGAAAATATGGATAAAAACTGATTTCAAGCTAGTTTCTAAGTGTAAAGGTTGCTTTTTGTGTCAATTTTAAGCATGAAAATAACAGTTTTTCAACTGCTATCACCTTACCTTTCTAAGGTAATTCTCACATTAACTATTCCCTCATGAACACCTGCAATTACTTACGCTGCAACACTCAGGTGCCCACTGTGAAAGCTTTCTGATCAAAAATTGAAAAGGAGGGAAGGAGATAGTAACACTCACCAATATATCAAGTTTTCCAAATCTTGTGTTTTGATGAAATGTGATAAGGAAGTAACACTGGAAGGGTCTGTCACATCAAGTTGATGAAAAACCACAAAGTCTGATAGTCCAAACTCTTTCAATCTTTCACTGCTTCCAAACCCCTTTTTTTTCATTTCTTGTTTTTAGCACCACTACAATTCCATTCAAAGCTAGTTTCTTGCATATTCCAAATAAGAAAAAATCTTGTTTCATAAAATAAGTAAAATTTTCATAGTAGTTGAAGAATCAAGAGTGTTATAAAATCAATAAATGCTTTCCTTTTAAAAAGAATTTAAAAAAACCAAAGTGGTTACTAACTAGATAATTGATTCTGATTTTTAATTGTCATTAATTATTTGAATTGTATGGCTGCAGAGCTTATGTTATTTTTAATTATTTAAAATGGTTTATAGAAATGAGTTTTGATATTGATTGAGGTTTAAAAGTGTTGTTGAAGTTAAGCCTGAGTGTATTGCTAACATTCTTTTTTATGCAATTAAAACACTATTTTTATTATTTTTGAAGAAGAAATAAGATTAAGAGTGATTTGACAAGTCAACTGCTCGCATAAGTAGATTCTAGAAAATGTCGTCAAAAACCTTAAAGTTAAAGTTGTTTAGATTTGGAATGGATATAGGGTCATTCTCCAATTTGTTACAGTAATCAAATGCCTTAATTTTTCTATTTAACTAAATTCTAATTTGATGTGTCTCTGTCAAATCTTTACTTAAGGCGCATACTGAATTGCCTTTTTCCAGATCAAACATTCACATTGCTCTTGTATATCTTCTTATTGTACACATTATATCTTTTAAGAAGATTTCTCTCATTTTATTTTTTATTAAATGAAACCTGGACAAGGTTCAAGAAACCCATGTAAAAAACATAACTTCATCACTCATCTTTTTACGTTGTGACACCTTCCCCTAATACTAATTTCTCTTTCTTTACTTATGAAGACAACCCATATCACACCAAACACACCAAATCATATAAGGCAATGAGACAATGGCTATCCTTGATTATATGTGCTACATCAGTTAAAACATGATTCTGTTTCAAAAACTCTGCACAAAATGGAATAAATCTGGTGCAATCTCATAAATCTGTTTCAGTGGAAGTTTTTTTTTACTTAAGCAATGTGCAAGTTTTTCTAATGATATTAAACATGTTCCAAGTAGTACCAACCTGTATTAATCACTAAAGTGCAAAAAGCATAGTTGAGTTGCTAATAAATCCTGAAACAGGGAGTTGTTATTATTTTTTTATCAATCTTTTCACCGTGATTGATATCTTTGCTTGTGTCTTAGGTATTTAAATTCTTCTAGCAGATTCTCTACAGTTAAATCAAGAGTTTTAGGATGTCTTAGAGTCATTGCAACTGTTGTCTTCATTTCATTTCACTGAATTCTAAATTCTGGTGCAATTTTGGTGACATTTTCATGCATATTTGGCTATAGCAAGTATGATTTGTTGAATCTTGTTGTGTTTGTGCATATACAAAGTTTGAGCAAGTTTATTTTTCCATTTTAAAGTTGTGTGCACTGTTCAAATGGTCATTTTTATGCCTATATGCAAAATCATGTCTTAAACCATCAAAATTGGCTTTAAAATGAAGTGAACCAGTGAATTCACATTACAATCTTTTTTCAAACTGTTTTAGTGTATAAACATCTTTAAAATGATGATACAAATTTGTTTGATGCATCAATTGAGCTGTTGAATCACTTCCATCAATATTGGGTTCAAAACCACCAAATTAGAAGCATTTTCCTGGTGTAGTGTTCAAATCAAGTGCTGTTTGAAAATTTGTTTGCTCCAATTTTCGATTCTGGGTTGGCATGTGCAGGTTTATGTTTCGAAATGCAAAGATATGATTTAAACATTGTAAAAAATCCATAAAAAGCAAAAGAATAACCTAAAACTCAAAGTTTGAGTATTTAATACCTAAAAAATGTACTTATAAAGTGAGATATTGTCATTTCACCTAATGTAGACTCATTCTAAGGGATGTAAACATCCTAACAAGTCTAACTTAGTGAAATCAAGGTAGGAAAGTAGTGAAAAGCAAAGATTAACCTAAAACTCAAAGTTTGAGTATTTAGCACCTAAAAAGTGTGTTCAAAGGGTGAAAAATTGCAAATAGACCTAATGTAGACTAATTTTAACTAATGTGAACATTCTAACATGTCTAAAGTAGTGAAATGAACCTAGGAAACTATTCAAAAGCAAAGAATTAGGTACAACTCAAAATTTGAGTAGTTGAAAACTAAAAAAGTGTACTTAAAAGGTAAGAATTTGCAACCAGACCTAATGTACACTTATTTTAAGTAATATAAACATCCTAAAATGTCTAAACTAGTGGAATGAAGATAAAAAACTTGTCAAAAACAAAGAATTACCTCAAAATCAAAGTTTGAGTATTTAGAACCTAAAAAGTGTGTTTAAAGGTTGAAAATTTGCAACTAGACCCAATGTAGACTTATTTTAACTAATGTGAACATCCTAACATGTCTAAAGTAGTGAAATAAACCTAGGATTCTATTCAAAAGCAAAGAATTAGGTACAACTCAAAATTTGAGTAGTTGAAACCTAAAAAAGTGTACTTAAAATGTGAGAATTTGTAACCAGACCTAATGTACAATTTTTTTAAGTAATATAAACATCCTACCATGTCTAAACTAGTGGAATGAAGCTAGGAAACTTGTCAAAAGAAAAGAATTACCTCAAACTCAGAAAAAAATAAATTTCGATTATAAAGAAAAAAATAATAAAATATTAAAAAGTTATTTAAGTGGATCATCACCTCGTACACCAAAAATATATATTAAGAATAGTATATAATATTTAAAATAGATTAATAACAATTCAATTATTATCCTATTTATTTATTTTTAAGATATGGAATTTGACCTTAACAAGCAGTTTATAACAACGATAAACTAGTTAGACTAATAGAAATAATATTGATAAAATCCATGGGTGTAATAATTGTATAATTTGATGCATTCTCACTATCCATTTTTTTCTAAACTAGACATAACATTCACCTTTTATATATATATATATATATATATATATATATATATGTATATATATATATATATATATATATATAACAATAACAATTTTCTGTTATAGTATTTTTTTAGTCTTACATTTAACTATCATCATTCCTATTTTTATATGATTCCAAGTATTAAACATACATAAAAAATATATAACTTCTGTGATTTATAAAATCATTTTCTGATAGATACCACATAATTGAAGAAGCACTCCGACGAAACTACTCATTCACTGTTTATATATACATTTAGATAATATTTAATAATAATATTCAATTTTAGTATGGTTTTTAAGATAGTTATAACGGCAGTTATTTTACTATGTGAACTATATATATCATAGATACAACTTAAAATGCATTCTATCTACGTTTCTAAAAATGGGACGAATGACCTCTTAGCCCTTTTACTTTTATTGCGTTTTCATGGTCAGAGAAAGCGAAACAGAGAGCAGAGAAGTCGCCCCAAACATAACGATGTTAACATTAAACTCCAGACTACTATAAATTAGAGGCTCTGCATTCCTCTTTCTCATATCACCAACAATCCATTAACAAAAATGAAGTATCCAAGCTTCTGTTTTACCTTTGCTACTGCCATTCTTCTCTTTTCATTTCATCCTTCTTCAGCAGATTCTCATGAAAAGTTTGTTCAATGTCTTTACAATTATCCCCATATCACCAACTCAATCTCCAATGTTGTTTACAAAAAAAGCAACTCTTCATACTCCTCAGTCCTAGATGCTACCATTCAAAATCTAAGGTTCTTCAACATAAGCTCAAAACCCCAAGTCATTATCACACCAATGGACGTTTCCCACATTCGAGCCACCATAATCTGTGCCCAACGTCATGGTCTGCAGATACGAACCCGAAGCGGAGGCCATGATTACGAGGGTCTCTCGTATGTTGCTGGGGTTCCATTTCTCATCGTTGACCTCATAAACCTTCGAAGAATCGAAGTTGACACTGAAAACAGAACTGCTTGGGTTCAAGCTGGGGCGACTATAGGTGAACTTTACTATAGGATTAGCCAGAAAAGCAAAACACTTGGGTTCCCAGCAGGTGAGTGTCCCCTTGTGGGCGTTGGTGGTCACTTCAGCGGTGGTGGCTATGGGTATATGATGCGTAAGTACGGTCTTGCTGCTGATCATATAATTGATGCTAAGATTGTTGACGTCAATGGTAATCTCCTAGATAAAGAAACAATGGGCGTGGATCTATTTTGGGCCATTAGAGGTGGTGGTGGAGCAAGCTTTGGAGTCATAGTGGCTTGGAAGATAAAACTAGTTTCAGTTCCATCAATTGTAACTGTGTTCCAAGTTACAAGGACATTGGAAGAAAATGCAATCGAGATTATTCATAAGTGGCAGCGTGTGGCAAACAAATTTAATGAGAGCATAACCATGAAGGCCAACATTGAAAGGGTAAATTCAAGTAAAAGTGGGAATGTAACAGTAGGAGCGAAGTTTGAATCCTTATATCTGGGACGTGTAGATGATCTCATTACCTTGATGCAAAAGAGCTTCCCGGAGTTGGGTTTGGTGAGAGAAGACTGCACTGAGATGAGTTGGATAGAATCAATTTTGTACAAGGCTGGATTCGCATCCGGTGAATCCACCGATGTTTTGCTGAACAGAACTCAATTAAACAGTTTGTTGTTCTTGAAAGCAAAATCTGATTATGTGAGAGATCCCATTCCAGATTTTGGGTTAGAAAGGTTATGGCATTTCTTATATGAAGATGCGGCTAAAGATGCTTACATTCAATTCACTCCTTATGGAGGCAGGATGAATGAGATTTCAGAATCCGAAACTCCATTTCCACACAGATCTGGCTACATATTCCTCATTCAATACAGGGTGTATTGGCAAGAAAAAGGGGATGCGGCAGCACAAAGGTACATCAACTGGATTAGAAGAGTGTATAAATATATGGAACCTCATGTTTCAAAGTCTCCAAGAGCTGCATATCTGAATTATAGAGACCTCGACATTGGAACTAATAACAATGGTTACACAAGCTTTAGACAAGCCAGCATTTGGGGCACTAAGTATTTTGGTAACAACTTTAATAGATTGACACTCGTGAAGACCAGGGTTGACCCTAGAAATTTCTTCAGAAACGAACAAAGCATACCTCCTCTTACGTCGAACAGACGCAAATAAATCTTCTTGGGTGCGTAACTTGCCATTATAAAATAAGTTACTTTTTGTATTTTACTTTTATCATTTGGTGTTGTCGTTGATAATGTATCTTAGGTACTTAATAGTGTATTAATTTTTAAAAATTCATACAGGACATGTAAGAGTTTTCGGATGTAAGTATTTTATATTAAATAATCACAAATTTTTTTGACAAGTTTAATGCAAAAACATCCTAAGGCTCTTATTCAATAAGCAGTCATTCGCGTAGACTACATCAAAAGACTTTTGACTGTAAATGAATCTCTTCATGTTGCATTTGGTGAATCTAACCAACAAATGCATGTGTTATTAAAAAATTATGTAAGTAATACAATGATTTATTGGATAACTTCAGCAATACATTATCATAAAGTTATCATAAACTGAGAATAGTTATCATAAACACGTGGAAAGAACGGTCCAAAACTAATGAAAACCAAAAGACTTCGTCGGAACCACATGTTTTTAACAACAAAAGAAGCATTCAACATTTCTTATCCTTAACAAAGTGAATCAGAACCAAGAAAATAGTGGAATTATGAGATATTTTCATCTACCACTCCAAAAGTATTAAAGTGTAAATGTAAATTATACAGGAATATAAAAAATTATAAAATAAAAAATATAATTCAAATTCTAGAATATTGTAGAAAAATTTAAGACAGAAAGAAAAAACTCAAAAACATTTTATATAGGTAAAAATCTAGAACATTTCACATAAATTGTGATTATCATTTTCTAAAATAATCTATAAATAATCATGTACTCTATCATTTGACGTAAGACAACATCTAACACAACACACAACTACAAAATATATTTCTTTCAACTACTACTTCCAAATTCAACTATAACAGCCTTGTCGGGATGTCACGTGTAAAAAAAATAATATCTTGATGTAATTTATATAAAAAAGTTTTTTTTTTTATATAATTTTTTTCAAATAATATCGCAGAAGCAAATACCACAAAACATAAACGATGTTCTTACCAAAAAAAAAATTCCAAACACAACTGTTACCAAAAACACCAAGTCTGAAAATTAAAATCAAGAATAAATATAGCAAATCCTCAGAGTAATTAGTTCTCCTTCTCTCGTCAAGCTACCGCTAACCAGCTTCTTTTGCAACACCATCTAGTCCTGTACAAACACGATTATCGCAGGTGGAAACTACAACCACAAACGCACAAGGGTGAGCAACCAAAAATACCATATCATATAACATAGTATAACCGAATAAATCAAAGACTATAATAAGCCACAATATCATATATCAACACAAAAATAATATCCCAACCAAACCATTCATAAACCATTGTTGTTTCCTTGCACTTTATCGTACCAACCTGTTTTGCAAAACAGAACGATCTGAGTCATCTTCCATCGCAAATTCAGACATATCTCCCTGACTCCTCAAGGAATAACGGGTAAAAACACTGATACTACGTGCACCAATGAATTATACTCAACACGAGCCACAGTGGGCGAGACATCCAACCCTCTCATTTCCTCGCACAAGAGGAAGAATGACACTTGAATCTCTGTCTCCACGCGAGACTCAAACTCCTTAACGTATCGCAATCCGAAAAACCCATACCACTAACAATGTTACAAGGAAATAACATGGTTTTGTGTTCACATCACAATTCAATACATAATCTCATTAATATGTATTAACCGACCGAGCACAAGATCATTATCCATAATTTTAATTATTTAATTAAATTACCCAATACCAAATAAACAAGTAATCTCAAGTGGACCTCATATGGTGTACTAATTCCCTGATGTTGCATTATTCTAAAGATCAGACAGGGGTAATAACACCGGAAGGTGTACTCAGCCATTCCTTAGATGCAACTCATGAGGTTTATGTAGATCAAATGAGGAAGATTGAACGAAGTTATTGTCATCATATGATAGATAACAAATTTACCGAATTCAGTAATGTCATCACGAGAGTTGTTCTTTTGAAGAAAGGTTTTGTGTAACACTCATAGTGGGATGCCACGAAATTACAATTTTTCCCAAACCATTTCCATAAAAAAATCGTTTCAGCACTACCAAAAAAGAGGGCATTACCGACGGCCCGAAACCGTCGAAAACAGCCTAAAGTCGTCGGTAATGCCTATTACCGACGGATTAGCGATGGTCAGTTGATCGTCGGTAAATCGTTTGTCGCTAACCATTACCGACGGCCTATGCCCTTCGGACAGAGGCCTTCGGTAATTACCAAAGTGTAGAGGCCTTAATTTCATTCCACTAGTTTAGATTATGAAATTTTTCATGACATCAAGTCAAACTAACCACTGATATTTCTATTGGAGAAGGATGATTGAAAAGGAGATATCAAATTATATTGCATAATATGTTTGTAGTCTTTTACATAAGATACTTGTTGCCACAACACTACAACACTACAAGTTTTTACATCTCAATACATAGGAAAAACATTTAAATTCTAAGAACAAATGTAAACAAGAACTAATAATAAAGATTATAAAGACTATCCAAGTTCAAGCGGCATGATGAAGCAGACTTTGATCAAGGTGCCACACACCTGCAAACCATAAAGTATAAATGTAAGTAGAAGTCATAGGTATTGGGAGAAAATTACCATACTGTTGGAAATGTACATCAAAGGTATATTTTTTCAACCAATATGAGAAGTAACGGTAGCAAAACATACCTAAATCCAACTTTCATAATAGTATCAACCAATAGAAAATTAACCTAGAATTCATAACTCAAGGTTATAAACTGGATTACAGCAAATCATAACAGCACTACGCTCGGCGTTAACTTATTCTCTTTTAAAGCATCCTTAGCGTCCATACCATTCACTCAATAACATTTCAGTGCAGTAAAACATATAATTTATGTGCTTAAGGAATGTTTAAAGATCTAACAATGTTATGTCAGATTAGAAACTCTAATCTTCTCTAATTATTATGTA